TGGTACCAATATTATCTACTATATCATTAGGTCACTGTGATTGTTTTACACATACAATTACTAAACCTGTGCAAATTCAATAAATATGGTAGATCTTGAAAGTAACATTCAAAGTCCCCTTCTAAGATCATAGCGGCAGTCACTGTGCTATAAAAGCTGTTTATTGTAGCATATTAGAAGTATGTCTCCAATCATAAAACCAAGCCTATGCTCTAATAAAGTTCATGTAACCCCAAAATTGCATTTATTATCTTGGATCGTTTGCGTACTAGTTACAGCACATATACCATCTCGAATAGAATCAACTCCTTATCCAATATGATACCTTCAGTATATGTTAAACCTTGTTTTATGCTTAAAGCCTGACTGGTCCTATGCTGGTGCATAGCATAGAACACAGTTGTGCAGAATTTTGGGAAATTTTGTAAATCCATGCAGTTTTGTTTTTTCCCAGTATTCTTTGCATGCTTCCCTATGATTCGCCAGCAAATGCCCGCTAATTTTCCTTCTGTACATGTGCAGTTTGTGTTTTTCACACAATGTACTCGCCTTTGTTTTTCAAAATAGGCAATTTTTCTATGGAGTTGAAAGAATTCTGTTTGTCTCTTAAAAAGAATATATTTAACTGGAATTGTCAATATGGCGATATTACAGTGGCAGAAATAACATGAAAGTGACCATGTCATTTATTTGTGTAGTAGACTGAAAATTTCATATCTAGTAATATGAAAATAATGTTGTTGGTGTCACAACAGTTTTGGCTGGGTAGAGCCCAGTAGTTGCCTCTGAAAGTGTGTGGGCTATGTATGGGAACAATGTCTGACATTTCTGATTATCTTTTATTGATGTGTATTTGGGCGGGTTTTCCAAATAGTGTGACGGGTACCATCGCTGTTCTCTTTGAATAATATAATAACAAGTCATGACAATATTCTTTTGAAGAAAATAGCATAAATTTGCATAACAATAGAAACCCATGATAATTGATAACCAAATTTTTAGAATAGGAAAATAGCATGGCATTGCTATGCTATGAACAACAGAAGTTCAAATTTAAATTACAATTTATTTTGTATGATTATTGACCACATTTCACAACCATGTTCTCGTAGCAACTCTTTTCATGTCACTGATCCTAATTACGATATCTAGCATTGTAATAAACAATTGCAATAAAGTGACAAGTCAAGTCAAAAATAAGTAAATGTGTGAACCATATGTAGTATCAATTGTAGCTCAATCCAGCTATACTCAACGTCCAATTTTTGGTTTGTCATTAATGATTACTAAATTGTTATTACTGGTCAAAAGCAATATATTATGAAGATATAAGCTATTAAATTGAATCCTTGCTTTTTGTGAATTAATGTGGTCTTTGAATTATTACCTGTGTGTATATATTATATTGCTGTATCATGTAATATTACATTATGTGTATTCTCATTATAAAGGTAGAACATGCCACAAATTAACTGCAAATAAACTGACAATAATCTAAGTATTAAAGGCAAGTTGATTGAAATGATACTCATCTCCAATTTCCAAATTGAAACATTATTTTTCAAGTCTCAGGACATGATGTGTCGTGTGCTAGATTGTTTGCTATTCTAGTAATATATTCTATGCAAATGTGAAAAAGGTTTGGTGGTTATATATGTATCTTGGTGTTTGTAACCTCACATTTCTATCCTACTAAACTTATGACAATTACTATTCAGTGTAATACTAATTCATGGATGGATGGATGGATGGATAAATTTGATCAATACAAGTTGCAATGCTTGATTGAAAAAAACAGTGTTATGGTCACTCCTGAATGAAAAGAGACTTGGACTGACAATAAAGTTATTATCATAACAATAGACAGCAATAATACTCAACAAACCTGTTGATATGCTAATTAGCCATAACATTTCACCTACTTTCCCCGACTTTTGAAACAAATCTGACCTTGCCTCTTAGAAGATTATAAATGATTGGATTTTTATTTCAATTACACCCAAGAGCATATGGGAAAAAATTAAAGAACACAGTACAGAATATGTTATTGTAGCCTAGAGTATACAGTACAGCATATGTTATTGTAGCCTAGAGTATACAGTACAGAATATGTTATTGTAGCCGAGAGTATACAGTTCAGAATATGTTATTTTAGCCTAGAGTATACAGTACAGAATATGTTATTGTAACCTAGAGTATACAGTACAGAATATGTTATTGTAACCTAGAGTATACAGTACAGAATATGTTATTGTAGCCGAGAGTATACAGTTCAGAATATGTTATTTTAGCCTAAAGTATACAGTACAGAATATGTTATTGTTGCCTAGAGTATAAAGTACAGAATATGTTATTGTGGCCTAGAGTATACAGTACAGAATATGTTATTGTTGCCTAGAGTATAAAGTACAGAATATGTTATTGTGGCCGAGAGTATACAGTACAGAATATGTTATTGTAGCCTAGATTATACAGTACAGAATATGGTATTGTAGCCTAGAGTATACAGTACAGAATGTTATTGTGGCCTGGATTATACAGTTTCAGCTTTGATTAGTACATGCTAGAAGACTGTCTATGACAATGGACCCCAAAGTATATGTAAATCATAGTTGACATTACATGTTAAAGGTACAGCCATTGCCAGAAACACACTGAGATTTTGGTGGGTGACCAAATAACAAAACAAACTGCCCTTGGTTAATTATATATATTTTTAGCTCACAGAGAACTCTGAATTATTCAACTATATTGTATAATTTACAATTAACATTTCTAGATAAACATTAAATGGTTTTGTACTCACCATAAAGTGCTGTCCATGCTTGATTTATTACATCTAAACACACTGTACCAGAGCTGAGAATAAAAAAACAAGAGAATTTTCCATGATGATTGAGATGAAATGAATATATTCCTTGCACATAATGCATTAGGTGTGAATAGAGAAAGTGAATTTTGATTACATCAAGTCAAAACACAATTCCAATATAGATGGATATAATGTGAACAAGCAGAATAAATTTACCTAAAACAGTGAATTGCGAAAATGTGCATTTCAACATATACATGCAGAACAAGCATTTTTTACTTGAAAGTAGTATATTATCAGTTTCATTTCTACATAACATTTATAAATTTGAGTAATACATTGATTATCACAAGTATATGTAGACTAATGGCTCTAATTTGTGTCTAGATATACAATAGGCAAGCAATTGACACTCTAGTGACTAATCTGTCTGTTAATATATACAATATGCTGAAGATGTTTGCAAGGCAATGCAAGTGCTTGAAATGATTACAGTACTCGTATACAGCCATTGATGCATGATTTTTTTTATAAAATAACTAACAGTTTATCTTAAAATTCAGATACATTGATGAGGAAATGCATATTATTTAAAAAAAATTACATTCCATGGATAATATAATTGTGAGAATGTTTTTAGTATGTTACAACTCGAATTACGCAAAATGAATATGCAAATTAATGTTGTATTAGAAGTTATTTAACCATGACAAATTTGTTGAATGAAATAGTGCTAAATTTTGATATGACATAATTATTTAATCAAAGAAAGCTTAGAAAGAACTCCCGTGTGCTGAGAGTATTGGAGACACATTAAAAATTAATTCAAAATTACTTGAACTTGAGATGTTGATGGAAACGCAGAAAACTAAATAATTATGCAAATAAGATAACTAATATGAACAGATTTAAGTGTAAAACTAATAAGGTCTGCACAATGTACCAAAAAATATTAATTATTATGCTAATTAGAGAATTAATATGAACAGTTTTTAACCGAAAATTAATCAGGCTGCCTATTGTCCTAGAGCATTTATGTACCAAGTTTTATTCAAATGTGATGATCAATACTTGAGATATCA